CCCCCAAAAAAAAAAAAGAGAAATTCACTCAAACTAATGCCAAACATATTTGTACTATTTTAATGAACTTCTCTTATAGCTAATATAAATATATAATAGTTTGTGTAGAACAGAGAGATAAATACAAATTCGTTTTCTTGAGCCGAGGGTCTTTCAGAAGCAACTTTTTTATTCTTCAGGATAGGAGTAAGGTCTGCATACACTCTACCCTCCGCAGGCTCCATTTATAGGAACTCACTAGATTGTTGTTGTTGTTGATAGATATAAACACAAACAAAAAAGAAAATGGAGGTCGGAGCTTAAAAAAGTTAAATTTAAGTTACGTGCATTAACATATAAATCTTCATTACAAACTTGATATATAGTAACCTAAAACGGGAAAGTCATAATATTTTTAGAGAAAAATTTCTTTACACAGTCAGCGCGTACAATATAAAACCAATCGTGTTATGTATTTCCTAGTTCAAATTACAAGAGGCCTTATCCAAATAAAATCCAAGTTGATAACATATATCTTAATTAGGCATGTGAAAACACTAAATAACCACTAGAAAATGTTTCCTAAGTTTGGATAATACCAGCCGAAGTAGAAGAATTTTGTTCAAAGAGTAGTGCTATGGGACCCATTTGTCCATACAATTTTTTTTTCGATTTTTTTTTTAAAATGTTTGTATGTGAAATTTTATAAGTTTTTTAAAAAAAAATCGAACATAAAATTTTCAAAAACCAAAAAATGGTTTTGACCACTTTTTCAAAAAAACTTTTTTCCCCACTCACAAAACTATAAAATTACACAATTTCATATTCCAATACCATTTTTCAACTTAAATCAAAATACTTTTTTTGAAAAAAAAGAAGTTACGATTTTTATGTCCAAATGCCTACTAAAATTGCCAATCTTATGCCCATCACCCCTATTATAAATATTCAAGCTCTAAACTTTCATTTCTCAAACCAATTTAAGTTGCAAATATTATTTTAAGCTAAAATGTCTTTCCAAAATCTTCTTTACTTCTTGTTTCCCTTTGTTTTTCTTCAACATTTTGCTTTATGTCAAGAACAAGTAGTTAGATCAGCCTATTGGCTTTCTAGCTTCAATTTCTCAGCTTCTGAAATTGAATCCAAATATTTCACTCATATTTTTTGTGCATTTGCTGATATTAATCCCAAAGATTTTCAAGTCTCCATTTCCTCATCAAATATATCACCATTTCCCACCTTCACAAAAAATGTTCAACAAAAAAACCCTTCAATTAAAACCCTATTGTCAATTAAGGATTCTAATTTTGTCACTTTTTCTACCATGGCTAGTAATCCAACTTCTCGGAAAAAATTCATCGATTCATCGATAATTTTAGCTAGATCTTTTAATTTCCATGGTTTAGATCTTTATTGGACTTACCCTAAATCAAATTCAGACATGATCAACTTAGAAATTCTTATAAAAGAATGGCGATCCGCGATAATCTTGGAAGCTAAATCATCAAGTAAACAAGCATTGTTACTAAGTTTAGCAGTTTATTACAAACCAAAAATTAATGGTACTTTGAATTACCCTTCAAAGTCATTAGCAAAAAGTCTAGATTGGATTAATCTAATGGCTTATAATTTCACTTCTCCTAATCTTTCGCGTGTAACGCGACCTCATGCAGCATTATTAGATCAAGATTCTGGAAAAAATATTAGTGGAAGTGCTGGAATTGAAGATTGGATTAAATCTGGAATTCCCTCTAAGAGAATAGTATTAGGTTTACCATTTTTCGGTTACGCATGGAGATTATTGAATAGAAAAAATCATGATTTAAATGCACCGGCCAGAGGACCTATTGGTGGTGGAGATGGATCAAAGGGGTATAAAGAAATAAGTGAATTTTGTGTCAGGGCAACAATAACATTTGATGCTGATATTGTTGAGGAATTATTGCTATTTGGGAACAACATGGATTAATTTTGATGAATTTAATACCATTTTTACTAAAGTTGCTTTTGCTAAGAAGAAGGGATTGCTCGGTTATTTTGCATGGCATGTTGGGGTGGATAATAAGTGGACTCTTTCTCAAGAAGGTTAGTAAATTAATCTGTTTTTACGTTATCAGTGCAATTTAACTTGTTATAATAAGTTAATTTTCTATAAAAGTTATTTATTTAATTAATTTTAATTATCTTATATTTTAATGTAAAAACACTTCGCACAGTCAGCATAAAAGAAATTACATTCAATTACTATAGATTTTGGTTAATTAAATTAATTTTCTTCTAATTTTTATCCTTGTTATTTTGGCAGCATCACAAGCTTGGGAAGCATAGGTTGGATTTCTCTTTTTGGTTATAATTGGATTATTTGGCCTTGGGACATCTTTATTGCGGTCTACTTTGACTGGGAGATTTGTTAATAAATAAATAAATAAATAATAAATAAAAACATTGAATAGGAGAGATGATATTCAAAGTAGCTTGAACTCTTTTGTCTTTTTTATTTGATCCATAAATTTCCACATATACTACAATAAAAGCTGTGTGATGTACTGCACGTTTAGATTAAGCTGGTTATGTTTTTGCTTCCAGATTCAGAAAATAAAATAAAATAGTTTCAAGGTCAGCCATGTCACACCTTCTTTATTTATTATTATTTCCTTTTTTGGGAGTATCT